GAGTTACTGAGTCAGCACACCAAAATTTACAGAGTTACCCACCCTTAATGTTAAGTTTTGCGAACCCTGCCATATGTTTGATATGTTTGTTCTGTCCTGTGTTGTCAGAGGTTAAATCACTTACGGGGGGCCACACGTGCATGTAATTATACAAATCCAAAAAAATTCCATGTACAAAATATACAAGGGAACGCGACGTTGTATTTGTAACAGCCCTATTTGCGTGCAATGACAAAACTCACCGCTGTAGCTATTGTCTTGTTTATCAGTTATCACGTTTAAAGTGTGTTTGCATTGTTCAACTTTGCGTTCAACATTTGCGTTCAACTCAGCGCAGGGTTGCACGAAAAAAAGTTGAATGGCTAAAAATATCAAAATATGAAAAAATATCAAAATATTCGCCATAAAAAGGTGTTTACATTGTTCAACTTTGCATTCAACTTTTGGTTGAATGGCTTTCAACTAATCGCTTTCAACAAAGTTGGTCGCCAGCCAACATTTAGCCTTTCAACTTTCTTTTCGTGCAACCCTGCGTTGAGTTGAACGCAAAGTTGAATAATGCAAACACTGCTTTAGGGAAACAAGTGCAGAATACGGCCCGTTAAGGTAGAACAAAGCGAAAAACTGGGCGTGGTCCGCCCTTTTTCCTGATTTTGCTGGTATACAAATTTTTTGGTGCAAACTTATATTTTCAGTGATATGGAGGGATGAAAGGGGAATTTTCGAAAATTTCTATATGTCAAAAAATTCCTAACCGAATTTGAAAAATTAGTATCGTTGCAAAGGTAAATGAAATCCCTTTTTTTTAATATGCATATTAATATACTTTATGTGGATAAATTTCGAGAAAAATCATTTAATAGAAAAAAATATATTAAAAAAAAATACATTTTTACTAAATAAAGGTGTAGATAACTACTCACAACGCTATAATAGTTCAAAAGAACATTAAAATACCTTTAATTTGGTATATAATTGTTACACAAACTCATTAACCCTCAGGCAGTAGAATTCTCCTTTCTGTGTTGCCAACGAAGGGGGGGCTGAACACCTTTTGCAGAGAACACCTTTCTGCGTAGGCTGCCTTCGGCCGCACTTAGGGACTACAGCCCTCAGACAGTAGAATTATTCTTTCTGTGTTGCCAAAGAAGGGGGGCTGAACAACTTTTGCAGAGAACACCTTTCTCAGTAGGCGGCCTTCGGTCGCACTTAGGGATTATAGCCATCAGGCAGTAGAATTCTCCTTTCTGTATTGCCAAAGAAGGGGGGCTAAACACCTTTCTGCGTAGGCGGCCTTCGGCCGCACTTAGGGATAATAGCCATCAGGCAGTAGAATTCTCCTTTCTGTATTACCGAAGAAAACAGCCGTCAACGTATGGTCATTTCTCCCTTCATGAACATCAGTAAAACAAAATTACTCACGGTATTTAGATCTAACTATGTATAAAATGAGGAAAAAAAGGCGGATCACGCCCATTTTTTCTTTTTGTTCTAGTTTAACGGGCCGTATTCTGCACTAGTTTGGTAGTACTGAATTGTAAGCTGTCAAACCAAGCTTCCGTTTTACTACGATTAAATCGCCTTTATCAACATAAAATATGCATATTTTTTCATCTGGGTTCATCCGCAAAATTATTATGGAGTTTCGACCGCTTTTAATCGCTAACATTCTGGTCCTTCGTGCCGGATCTCGAAGTCGTGTTATTTTTCTTGCAAACCGCGCTATTTACGCTATTTCTGTAAATTTATAATTACATACATTCGCGTTGCACTTACATGCAAAATTCGCTTTTCCGCTTTAACTCCATTAAGCGACATTTGCAGTCGAGTAAAGCAGATGTGCTTTCGGTGGACGTTGAAGTGCTCTCCACGCATCTACAATTATTGGAAGAGCAGTGGGTTCGTTTTTGCGAAGCTCAACAAGAAGTGGAGCTGGCATGTGGCGACGAGAACACTCCTATTGAAGAACAATCGCGCATACAATGCGAGGAGTGGTATATAACTGCAAAGGCCAACTTTAAACGTCTTATGTCATCGCACATACAACCAGCACCACATAATTCTGCTCCTGTTGCATATGCATCCACGTCGCTGCCAAAGCTGCAGTTGCCCTCGTTTTGTGGTGATCCTACGGAATGGTTGTCCTTCCACGATTCATTTTGTTCGCTGGTTAACGCGAACGCAACCTTGTCGGACGGGCAAAAACTGCCGTATTTGCGTAAGTGCTTGAAAGATGAAGCACTTAATTTGGTGAGTACTTTTTCAGTGTGTGACAGTAATTATCGCTAGGCCTGGGACTTTTTGACCTCAAGATACAAGGTCATACGAGTCATGGTGGACAGTCACATACGGGCTCTGTCATCGATCGAAAAAGCGAGCAAAGACTGCGCTAAGGCAATCAAGCTTGTGCTTAATGCTACATTGCAGCATGTCGGTGCGCTACGCGCGCTTGGTCGACCAACCGAGTTCTGGGATGACTGCCTTATCCACCTAACTGTATCCAAATAGTCATACGAGACCCTCAAACAATGGGAATTGTCGCTTGTGGCTGACGAGTTACCGTCGTTTAACGCTCTTCGTGAATTTCTAGAAATTCGTGCACGTTCTTTGGAGATGCTACCGCTTACATGTAGCCAAGTAGAAGCATGTGACGTCGGCAAGGTGGGTTAAGAAAGGGTCAACATGGCACTCCAATGGCGCAAAACACTGTGTTCGGTTGGGTATTGCTCGGGAACGCGACCAATTTACAAAGGCAGCTCAAATCTATAACCACCTTACACTGTGAAACGCAACTAACCGAGCGGGTCAACAAGTTCTGGGAACTCGAAGGGTTACGTCCGAGAAAGCATTACACTCCCGAAGAACTCACCTGTGAACAACTTTTCGACGACACTACCGAGCGAGCTAACGATGGTCGATACATCGTGCGCTTACCACTGAAGAAATCCGTACCGATATGTGAATCTAGAAGTATTGCGGTCCGAGCATTTCTCCGAATGGAGAAGAGGTTTGCTACTGACAAACAACTCTATCGAGATTATTGTAAGTTCATGGAAGAACTTGTTGACTTAGGCCATATGGAGCTAGCTGGTGCCGTTACAGACGACGCGTACTACATGCCGCATCATGCCGTGGTAAAACATTCAAGTGCCACGACCAAGCTCAGAGTAGCATTCAACGCGTCCATGAAGAAGACATCATCCGGAAACTCGCTCAACGATGCTCTGATGGTAGGGCCGCAGCTAGAACGAGACCTATTCTCCATACTAGTTCGTTTCCGCACGCATTGCTATGGGCTGATCGCGGAAATCGAGAAAATGTACCGCCACGTTTACGTAGCAAAACAAGACGCTGACTATCAACGTATAGTATGGCGTGAGAACTCATCACAACCCATTCGCAATTATCGCCTTCTAAGAGTAACGTATGGAGTGGCGTCGGCATCGCATCTTGCTGTGAAATCGTTACATCGCGCTGCGCCGGATGTAGGCGATGCATACAAAGGGGTCGCTGATGTCTTTACAAGGGATTTCTACATGGATGATTTGCTAACGGGGTCGGACTCCCTGCATGGCTTAATCACGCTCCAGAAAGATGTCGCCTTCGTATTGTCTCGGAGCGGTTTTGAATTGCGAAAATGGGCTACGAACTGTCAGCCGTTACGAGAACGAATACCGCACGTTTCCAAGCAAGTTTTGCATCTTTTAGCTGAAGGAAATAAAATCCGCACTCTGGGCTCCGTTTGGCACACCGATAAAGATTTGCTTTCTATTGCTGTCAATCTACAAGAATTGCCTGACCAGATCACAAAACGCGCGTTTTTATCCGACTCAAGCAAGACATTCGATCTGCTTGGATAAACCGCGCCCTGTACAATTCGCTAGACACGTCGCATCGGAACATAATCCTGCTGATTGCGCATCGAGGGGCATCACGCCTTCCCAGTTGCTCGCGCATCCTCTATGGTGGCATGGGCCGCCTTGTCTGCGAGCTCACAGCGAACCTTGGCTTTATCTCTCAATACAGCTCAACACCAACCTCAAATTGAAGTCGTACAAGATGCTGTATCTAACGCAGACCAGTGGCGAATGGGATCTTTTGACCAGATACCACTCGTTCAACATACTCAAGCGAGTAACCGCTTACGTAATCCCCTTCGTAAAAAACTTATGAATTGCCGCCTCTCGCTCTAACGCAGAGGAACGAAGACTGAGTCCGTTAACCTGCGCAGAGATTCAAGAAGCCAAATTAGTTTTAGTAAAGTATGTCCAATCTAACGCCTTCGGGTAAGAAGTTTCCAATTGCAGATCAAGGAAGCCGGTACTCGTTCGGAGCAGTCTCATACATTTGCAGCCGTTTCTGGCCATCCTACGTGTAGGAGGTCGCATCGAAAACGTTACACTTTCCAACGATGCTAAGCATCTAATAATACTGGCAAAGGGGTCCTCGTCGCAAATGTGTTCGCTGCAAACGTCTCAACCACAAGCCGTTGCAACAGCTCATGTCGCAACTTCCGCTCACCCGTGTAACTTGTACACGGTGTTTTTTCGATTTTGCTGGGCCTTATGCTTTGAAATTCTCCCACGGAAGAGGTGCGAAGTCTGCGAAGGCATACATTTGTTCGTTTATATGTATGAGTACAGGCGCAATGCACTTGCGCGTCAAGTATCACTTAAAGCGTGCGCTGAATTCGACACTTCTGGCGTATGAAGAATTCGCAACTGTGCTAACTGAGGTCGAGGCTTGTGTGAACTCTCGTCCTATCTGCTGGATATCCACAAATATTAGCGATTTGGAAGTTTTGACTCCCGGTCATTTTTTAGGTAGCGAACCATTGAAGACGCCCCCGATCCCGATGGGGAAATGTTCAAGGGTTCTCTTTTCCAACGATTGCAACTCGTCACGTCAGAAAGACAACACTTCTGGAAGCGCTGGCGTGATGAATATCTTGTAAACCTTCAGCAAAGAACAAAATGGTTCCGCTCAACGCCAAATTTGCAGAAGGACGATGTGGTTGTCATACACGATAACAACGCCCCACCTACCAAATGGAAACTTGGGCGTGTACTTGATAGCCATCCCGGCTCCGACGATCGCGTGCGTGTTGTCAGCTTAAAGACCGCAGAAGGTGAACTTGTGAGACTCATTTCGAACCTAACGCTGCTGCCGAAAAAAATTGATATCTTTACTACGTGAATTTCCACTCAATGTAAACTGTTCAAGGCGGCCGGTATGTTCGCGCCTAACTGGCAACCCTATTGTAATGACCTGGTGGTTAGGGAGTACTCATTATAGTGTAATAAAACGACAAGAAATTTGTTGTCGTACAGTCGAGCGCTTATGGAATATTGTTCTTTATTTATTAATTCTTTCCTAATTTATACAAATTTAAACTTATTTAATTCTATGTTTCCTTATTTACTATAATACATATTTATTATACTTCTTACATACTAGTCTTACAAACACATGTATGTATGTGCAGCCAGACACTTATGCACATACAAATGCACATTGGCTTAGCTTAGCAAAATATGCTTATGGGAGAATGCAGTGTAAGCAGAAATCAAGCATTCCATAATAATTCGTGTGAACCACAATTTGTTTAATGCACTTTTGGCGCGTGTGGAACTTTGTTATGTAGATATGCATTTCTGATACACTACACCTCCTCTCTTTAAAAGAATGCTTATACATTTGTGAGGTCAATGTATGAGCATTCTATTTCAATTAAAATTTATGACATAACTACAAATTACTTGAGTTTCTTTTAATTACTGTGTGTGTCTTTTTTTCATTTATTTGTTTATTTATTCATGCGGTATATTTTTATGACATAATTAAATGTAAAATCGGTTAGATTTTTATTTTAGTATGAATGTACATTCTTGTTGAAGCTATTTATTTATTTGTGCAGTATATTTTTGTGAAGTGATTAAATGGAAAATTAATTCTAAGTTTTGTGTTTACGCTAACAAACTGAAATATCCGTATTCTAACAATTTAAGCCTATTTTTATGTATTATGATTTTCTAATTTTTATTACTTCAAGTATAATTGTTTTTCTTATCTATATTTTCTACTCTATAGGGCCCTTTGTATTTACTATCTAATTTATGACCTGTTTCGTCTTTAACTAGTACTAAATCTCCTACATTTTTTTCCTTACTTAGAGTACTTCTATCATAATTAATTTTTTGTCTTTGCTTAGCTTCTTGCACTAATCTTTTAGCTCTTTGCTGTGCTATTTGTAACCTGTATTTTATTTCTTTGTCGTAGGCCTCATAATTGTATACTGGGCTAACTATGTTTTCTTGTAATGGCTGGTTTTCATCAAGGAATATTCGCTGACTACATAACTGCCAGCGATGTCATTCTTCCAGTGTTTTCATTACATGCCATAAACTGCCATGATACCGATTGAAAATGATTGACAACAGTTTTTGGAGTCAGTCGACTGACATGCCGTTTCCACTGCACATGGCAAAAATATTTTGTGAGAAGACCCTGGCCAGCTGTTTGTCAGTTTGAAGTTTGAATAAAATAGATCGAAAGCAAATAAATAAAATGATTAAAAGGAAAATCGCAGTGGCCGGTGCGGCATTGTGTTTAACAATAACGCAAAAGGTGGTGGATACGACCGGGTTTGACCCTGAGAAAAACAAGTGGGTTTTACAGCACACTTCGTTTGAAACTGCGGGAACAAGATCCCTTCTGGTTTCACAACTTTTTGCGGATGAACGTGGAGGATTTCAATTTTTTGGCAAATCATTTGACTCAGCACATTGGAAAGAAAGATTCTCGGTTAAGGGAATCCATCTCAGTTGGAGAAAGATTGGCGGTGACGCTGCGATACTTAGCGACTGGTGATAGTTTTGGAAGTTTGATGTCTGTGTTTCTTTTGGGGAAAACAACAATTTGCAATATAATACGCGAAACCTGCGAGGCAATTTTCCGAACCCTAAACGATGATTTCTTAAAAGTATGTAGAGTTTTGTGTTTGCATTTACAATCTGAACAGAAAGTGTTATATATTTTTTGTTTTGTTCAGATGCGCTTTATGTGTAACCAATGTCACACATACATGCATAACATCGATGAGGTGCTCCGAAATATGAACTTAACAATAGAGAAAAATAGTCAAAATATCCAAGAGTGTAATGATGACTTCCAGGAGTCGCAAAAAATGCAAGTGAAAGAGCTTAAACTTCTCTTGCAATCAATAGAGAAAAAATTTGGGGAACGCATTGATGCAATGCAAAAGTACAAAAAACCTGTGAGGCGAGTATTCTCGAAGTGAACCAAATTAAGTCAATAGCTGACGGCGTAAAAAAGCAAAGCCATGATCTTTGCGAAGCCATAGTGCGCAATGAAAATGAGAACAAAAAAATTTGTGAAGAGATAAAGAAATCGGTGACTGCTGACGCGTTAGCAGGTCAGCGGGCGAAAGCCACTTACGCGAATCTCTTTAAAGGTAACACTGCGAAAGATAATAGGCTGCCGAAAGTAAATAAAGAGAAGCCATTAGTTCTACAACCAAAAGAGAAGCAGGAAGAGGGAAAAACAATAGAAGATTTGAACAAAAATGTTGACCCCTCGAGCTTGAAAATTAATAGTGTACAGGGCAACAATGATAGAATACAAGATTGCGCCAATGAGAGAGGATTTTTGAGCGTAATTTTTGCGTGACGTCATCTTGGTGCAATTGCGAGAGAGAAATGCCAAAACGCATATAAAAATATGTAAACAATGCAGAAAAATGTGTTAATTTTAATATTACATGGCCCAATTTTCAATAAATATTCAGGAATCAATAAATATACAAAGATTGATTAATTAGGAACACGTAGCAATAATTTTGGATATGTAGCCCTTTAGATAATGACGATTTTTAGCACATGAATAAATGGATTTATTAACCGTGTTTGCAAAGTGTGCAGCAATATGAATTTTTGGACTTACCATTTTAAAAAGCCATGCAGAGTGCATATTTATATTTGTGGACGGTAGCCAACCACCATAAACTCCACAGCTGTTGACTCCACAGCTTTTATTTGATGACTTTTGTACCATTTCCGAGAGGATGCATGCTTTTTTGGAAGCAAATATTCTATGTCAGTAAAACATAATTTAAGCTGAACTTTAAATGTATAATAGTTTGGGCACTGCTTCGTATTAGGTACGTAACAGCGCGGTAAGATACCGCTTGAATTAGCGCCTGGCGACCTTATCCACTGGTGCATTACCTCATACCAGCACTAAAAAGAACCAGGTACTAACAAAAATAAGTAGGTAGTGAAGTTCATGTATCTATTTACTGTAGAAACTGCTTTTGTATGTATGTCATTGCTGGTATGGCAAACCAGCAACTGTCTACATTCACCATGGAAATATACCTACTACAATTCAGCTCATATCTCACATAGCAAAAAGCTCGATTTGGTGTTTAATGCATATTATCGCCGGCAGAACTGCTTCCATTTTTTCGGCAGGTTTGCGTCCGTAGGAAACGGAAAAAAACTTATATAGCACGCTTTCCTTTTGTTTTCACTATTACACTTTGCCACTGCACACTTCATTTTGCTTTTTAATGTCTCAATAATTGTTTAAAACCACGCAGAAATATTAACGCACAAATATTAAAATTGTTATTTGGTTTTTTCGTATGCTCACATTCAACAATTGCACCAAGATGACGTCACGCACACAGCTCATTCTGTCAAAATCACAAAGAGCGGATTAGCGGTACCGCGATTGGCGCAATCTCTATTTCTCTCAATCGTGTGTACAGGGGAGGAAAAGTGGGGCTGTAGTAATACAAACGGAAAACGAGGCTGAGCGTGAAAAAATCAAAAAGGCAATAGAGAATAAAATGAGTGATAGATATGAAATACAAATCCCAAACGTAGCCAAGCCAAGGTTCATGGTATATAGAATGAGCTTTAAACATGAGAATGAGCAGCTTTCGGATATGATAAAAAAACAGAATGAATGCTTCAAAAATGTTAATTTCAAAATTTTGAAATGTTTTGAAACAAAAAGAGGCAATGCAAAACATTATAATGCGTTAATAGAAACAGATGTAGATGCCTTTGCAGCCGTGCTGGCAAGCGAAAAAATAAACATAGGTTGGGAAAAATGTAGAGTCAAAGATGGAATGGAAGTTACTTTCCGTTTCAAATGCAAGGGATTTAACCACATAGCTGCGAAATGTAAAGCCGATGAGGTATGTTTCAAGTGCCTAGATAACCACAAAACTGTGGAATGTTCTAAGGAAACATTAAACAAATGCATAAACTGCATTCGTGCTAATAAAAAATTTAACTTAGGGCTTGATGAAAATCATATGACCTTTAACCGACAGTGTCCTGTATACCAGAAAAAGCTTGAGCATAAAAGAAATACTGTAAATTACTAACAATTACAGCAAGTTTGTGGGGATCCTAGCGTTGAGTTTACGTCTCACCCAGGTGTAAAGAAAGTGCTACCCAAATATTTGCAATGCGTATATCTCAATATACAGAGTTTAGTGGCTAATAAAGTTGAGCTAGAAATACTTAAAGATTTTACCGACCCGGATCTACTTTTGTGTTCCTAAACATGCCTAACTGATGACATAGAGGATACGGAAATAATGTTCCCGGCGTATCAGATGATACGTTGCGACTCACACAGTAGACACACAGGGGGAGTGATAATACTCGTTCGAAACACGCTCGGTTTTAAAACAATAACTAACAAGGCTTTAGACAAAAATGTTTGGTGTATAGTTATTCAACTCACACACTGTGATACCAGGTGGCAGCTCGGGGTGGTTTATCACTCCCCAAGCTCAAGTGATGCGGAATTTGTTACATATATGGGGGATATCTTAGCAGAAATCTCAGAAAATTCTGTGAACACTGTTGTCATTGGCGATTTTAACATAAACATGAACGTAGTATCAACCTACAGCAGAAAACTCAATGATGTTTTCTTGCAACAAGCCATGCAACAGGCCTGTATGCAGTTCTCAAGAAAAGCTAAAATTCCATACAAAATGACGTACAAGAAATGGCTAAGAAATTTTCTTAAGTCAAATTTCCTTCAGGCAGTACGCAGTTCTTAAGAAATTTGCTACGCTTTTTACTA